AAACGGAAAGGCTGATGCCTTATCACGAATGTCGTCTGGGCCTCTCTAGGAGAACACTTCTGAATGCACAATCCTGCCTCAAAAGAACTTTCTAGGGGCCACAAGTCCTAAGGCATTCTTGAATCTTCTTAAAGAGGGGTATGAGAATGACCCACTTCTCAATCATCCACCTACGGACATTAACCTGACTTATAAGAATGGCTTTTGGATTCGAGGACATCATCTTTATGTACCTGAATCTGTTCGGGTGGAAGCTCTCAAGTTGGTTCATGATTCCAAACTTGCTGGGCATTTTGGAGTCGCTAAGACCGAAGAAACTATTATCACGTTCCTTTTGGTGGCCGGGGTACAAGAAAGATGTCAAACGCTATGTGACCTCATGCTTGACCTGTGCACGCAATAAGATTCCCCGAGCCTCCCCTTTGGGGTTGCTTCAGCCACTCCCTGTTCCATCAAGACCATGGGGGTCTATTTCTATGGATTTTGTGGTGGATTTACCTCCCTCAAAAGGAATGACCACCATTTTGGTAGTGGTTGACCGTCTCACTAAAATGGCCCATTTTGTTCCAGTTAAGGGGGTGCCCACTGCTGAACAGACTGCTGAACTGATGGTTCGAGAAATCTTTAAACTGCATGGAATCCCTGATGATGTGGTGTCTGACAGAGGTGTGCAGTTTACTTCGAAATTCTGGAGAAGTTTTTGCTCAGCCTTAGGTGTTACAATTAATCTGTCCTCTGCTTTTCATCCCCAGTCTAATGGTCAGACTGAGAGAACTAATCAAACAATGGAACAGTATCTTCGATGCTTTGTCACTTATCTTCAGGATGACTGGGTGGACTGTCTTCCCACTGCAGAGTTTGCATACAACAATTCTAAACATAGTTCCACCTCTCAAAGTCCTTTTTACTTAAACGCCGGTTACCATCCAGTTTTTATTCCTGATCTCCCTATCACAACTCCAATCCCTGCTGTTACCGATAGACTAACTACATTGCAGGAGATTCAAGAGAAATTGATTGAGACTTTGAGGGAAGCTCAGGAGTATTACAAAAAGTCTGCAGACAGACACCGGAGAACACTTCCTACTTTTCATGTGGGTGAAAAAGTTTGGTTATCAACAAAGAATTTGAAGGTCCAGGTGCCATCTGCTAAGTTGGGTCAAAAGTTTGTGGGTCCTTTTCAGATTTCTGCCCAAATCAACCCAGTCACCTTTCGCTTACAGCTTCCGGATAGTATGAGGATTCACCCTGTTTTTCATATATCACTACTCAAACCGTTTCAGGAAAATCCTTTCCCTGGAAGAATTTTTCCACCTCCTCCACCTGTTGAGGTACAGGGTGAAGAAGAATTTGTGGTGAAAAATCCTTGATTCCAGGATCTTTAGGAATAAGTTACAGTATCTGGTTCAATGGGAAGGATATGGACCAGAAGAAAAAATTATTGGGAGCCTGAGGAGAATGTTCATGCTCCTAGACTAACAAGAGAATTCCACCAGAGGTTTCCACACAAGCCTAGTCCTAAGACATCCAGAGGACGTCCTGGGAGGAGGGGAGTACTGTCAGGGCCTGGACTTGAACCTGGGGCTTCTACTGTGTCAGGCAGTAACTCTACTCACTGAGCTACCTAGGATGCTGGACTACACTTTGCCTCATCTATTGGATAATCCTGCCTTGTGCCTTGTTTGCTCTTGAACCTTGAACTCCTCGCTCCTCCCATGAACTTCCTATATAAGCCATGTCCTTGGACTTCCTCCTTGCCAGATTATTGTGCCTTTCCAGCCAATATCCTGCTACTGTTCCTGCTGCTGTCTACACCTCCGCTACTGACCTTTGGCTTGTTCCTGACCACGAATGATCTGCTACCATTTGTGACCGACCCTTGGCTTGTGACCGACTCTGCTTTAGTCTGATCCCTAACCTGTTGATCCGCTATTGGTTCCCAGTCTGCTCATTCCCTGGTGGGGTGATCCTGAGATCTGCGACCTGGTATTAACACGCAGCCCAATCCATCTCCACCATTAGGAGCTCTGGTGAAGACCGGTTAATACTTAGACCCCGCACCTCAGGTGAGCCTGTGTCATTCCCAGGGGGATCCGCTGGTGTACCTATCCTGCTGGTTCCAGGTAAGCCTTTTACTGCTATAGCAACTGGTCTCTGAACCTGACCTTACACCGTGACACAGGGGGATTTTAAAAAGACAGGCTGACAAGCCTAAGGCTAGGCAAAGCACATCTCCTAATCTTAACATCATAACAGAGGAGATCAAAGACCCTTCCTGCTCTGCAACTTGGATCTGCTTACAAACCAAGGCATATTGGCAAGTAACTTAACCCTGTAAAGGTGTGTTTGTTTAATTCTCTGCCCAATTGGCCTGAGGTGACCGTATTGGACAGGCAACTTTTCAATCATTATAGTGTATATGTGATAACGGGAGTTTCCCAGTCTCCGACAAAAGTGGTGGTGGCAGTAGAGGGTTAATTGCGTAATTAACCCGACCCAGTAACCACCGCATTCAGGCTGCAGGCACCGATTGTAGCCCATTAGCTGGACAATCGCTGTGCAGGGTGCAGCTGGGTGTGGCCTTGTTACGCGCGTCACACTGCGGTTTTAGATCAGCCGGTCCTTCTGTCACGAGTTTTGGTGAGAAGGTCTGGTTTGGCTCTGCACTGAAGGATTGTAACCTTTGTGGAAACAGTCCTAAGAAACAAGGGGTGCATATTTGTTATATATATATATATAGAGAGAGAGAGAGAGAGAGAGAGAGAGACATAGCAACAGCTCCTTCCTTTTCCTACTTTTTCTCTTCTATCTTTGCTTGCAATTATGCCTGGTGTAGCAGAATACGAGAAAATGAGCAAAGGTGATTTGAAGGCAGCATGTACCTCACGAGGATTGGACGTCGGTCGCAAAAATCATGAAGATTTGATTAGTGATCTAGTGGAGTATGATATCCGAGCACATCAGAACTCGGGGTAACTTGAACATAGAGGGGTTCCCGTTACCCACATTGCCAGTGGCTCAGAGACGGCCTCACAGGATGGGCATACAGAGACTGACACTGGAAGATCACCAAATGTTAGTGTCACACCACCGCCTGAGCGCCCTAGCACCATGGTGCCTGTAACCAGCAGAGACTTGTCAGGAATGGACTGGTCAGCAATAGTGGGACTCACCTGCCTTATGAGCTGCAGTACCAGGGCTGGCCAGCGGGTGCTCCCAGCAACCAGCAGAGACTCAACCTTGCAGCCAGTCAAACACCTGGAACTAATTATACTGGTGTATTTAAGGGACATTCAGACCTGCAGACTCTGCCTTGGTGTGTGTTTCTCCTGGGCCCTGTATCCTGTTCCTGTCTGATTCTCTGCTGACCCTGCTCTGATCCCTGGCTTGTCTGACCATTCTCCTGCTCCTGATCCCTGGCTTGTCTGACCATTCTCCTCTGCCTGACCCTCTGTACCATGCTGCCCGCTACCTGCTGAACCTGGCCTGTGACCCCGACCATTCTCCGCTTGCTCCCCCTGTACCTACCTGCCCGATTGATATTGACCCGGCCTGCCTGACGACGCTTGCATTGTATGTACTGTTATCTGTGGGTGGTTGGTTTGGTTTGTTTGCACTGTGTTATGTTTTAGTATTGCACTGCGTTTATGTTTGTATTGTTAGTGTTAATAAATTACATTGTTTATAACATATCTGAAGTCTGCGTTTCCCTGCGTCAGTCACACACCTCTGGTCACACCCGGGAGCCCTGACATTACACACCAAGGCCAATCCTGACCAGAAGTGGTTGCACAGGGAAGCCATCTTGGTTTGTTGATGGGAAGGATGGATCTTGATGAGGTTGTGTATTTATATCTGCTAGTGTTTGATGACAGAGAGTATGCTTATCAAACTCTGAAGGAGTATCCCCGGGATGAACTGCTAGAATGTATACGGCTCGCTCATGTTCTAGTAGATCAGGGCACAGAATTCTCTGAGGTGCAGCCATTGATTCAGATTTGTGCGGAGTTGGTTTCATCTGGTACCCCCGAATGCAGGGATGAATTTTTGCCGCCATTTAGTGCCGACCAGGTAGAGTCCCAGGTATGGTTATTAGAGGATGATGTGGATTACTTCTTGGAGCATTATGCTGCATGTTCACCACAGACACTAAGAGATTGTATAAAACGCAGTGCAGTCTTTGGTCAGATAGGCTTTGTGTAAGCTCAGCTTTGTTCAACCCATACTGCAGACATGGACAGATTTGTTGCACCCAGCCTCAGTCAGCTTACAAAAACCCAGTCCTGCTTCTAATCTATTTCCTCAAAGCTCTATTCCTGCATTCTCAAACAGCTCCTCCCTGCCCTGCTATCTACCGCATGTCAGTACCCTGTTCCCACTCGCTGCACACCTATCCTGCCTTTAACCCTGTAAAAAAGCCCTCTGTAGCAACTGCTCCCTCCTCTGTTCCATCCTCCAGCTCTTCTCTGTCTCCAGCTGCTCCATTCGTTGCAGACCTGCGTTTACTTGCAGTGCTCCAGTAGTTAAAACCAGAAAAAAGCGAAAATTCTTTCCAACCAATACCATCCTGCCAGTATCCAAACCGGTGAGCCTGCCGTCTGAGAACCTGCCTTCCGTGGTTCAGCCTGAAGCCTCTACTCAGCCTGAATCCTCTACTCAGCCTGAATCCTCTACTCAGCCTGAATCCTCTACTCAGCCTGATGCCTGTACTCAGCCTGATGCCTGTACGCAGCCTGATGCCTCTACTCAGCCTGAAGCCTCTACTCAGCCTGATGCCTCTACTCAGCCTGATGCCTCTACTCAGCCTGATGCCTCTACTCAGCCTGATGCCTCTACTCAGCCTGAAGCCTCTACTCAGCCTGAAGCCTCTACTCAGCCTGAAGCCTCTACTCAGCCTGAAGCCTCTACTCAGCCTGATGCCTCTACTCAGCCGAATGCCTGCATTCAGCCTGATGCCTCTACCCAGCATGATGAACTGATCCAGCTGATGATCCTATTAGGCCAGTTGACTCGATGCCCGCTGTTGATCCAGATGATCCGGTACCTGATCCGGTGCCCGCTGTCGTGCCAATTGACTCAGAGCCCGCTGTCGTACCTGGTGACTCAGTGCCCACTGCCTTGCCAGATGACGCGGTGCCCGCTGGCGAGCCAAATGACCTGATGCCTGGTGACCCAGTGCCCGCTGTCATACCTGGTGACCCGATGCCCGCTGTTGAGCCAGACGATCCAATGCCAGACGACTCGGTGCCCGCAGTCTTGCCAGACGACTCGGTGCCCGCAGTCTTGCCAGACGACTCGAAACCCGCTGTTCCGCCAGTTGACTCGATGCCCGCTGTTCCGCCAGACGACTCGGTGCCCGCAGTCTTGCCAGACGACTCGGTGCCCGCAGTCTTGCCAGACGATTCGGTGCCCGCAGTCTTGCCAGACGACTCGGTGCCCGCAGTCTTGCCAGACGACTCGGTGCCCGCAGTCTTGCCAGCCAGACGACTCGGTGCCCGCAGTCTTGCCAGATGACTCGAAGCCCGCTGTTCCGCCAGTTGACTCGATGCCCGCTGTTCCGCCAGATGACTCGGTGCCTGCAGTCTTGCCAGACGACTCGGTGCCTGCAGTCTTTGCCAGACGACTCGGTGCCTGCAGTCTTGCCAGACGACTCGGTGCCTGCAGTCTTGCCAGACGACTCGGTGCCCGCAGTCTTGCCAGACGACTCGGAGCCCACTGTCGTGCCTGGTGACTCGGTGCCCGCCGCTCCGCCTGGGGGCCCGAGACCTGTCTCTCCGCCTGGGGGCCTGAGACCTGTCGCTCCGCCTGGGGGCCTGAGACCTGTCTCTCCGCCTGGGGGCCTGAGACCTGTCGCTCCGCCTGGGGGCCTGAGACCTGTTGCTCCGCCTGGGGGCCTGAGACCTGTCGCTCCGCCTGGGGGCCTGAGACCTGTCGCTCCGCCTGGGGGCCTGAGACCTGTCGCTCCGCCTGGGGGCCTGAGACCTGTCGCTCCGCCTGGGGGTCCGGCACCCGCCGCTCCGCCTGGGGGCCCGAGACCTGTCGCCCTGCCTGGGGGTCCGGCGCCCGCCACTCCGCCTGGGGGTCCAGCGCCCCCCGCTCCGCTTGGGGGCCCGATGCCTGTCGCCCCGCCCGGGGGGGGCCAGATGCCTGTCGCCCCGCCTGGGGGCCCGGCGCCCGCAGCTCCGCTTGGGGGCCCGGTGCCTGTCGCCCCGCCGGGGGGGCCCGGTGCCTGTCGCCCCGCCTGGGGGCCCGATGCCTGTCGCCTCGCCTGGGGGCCCGGTGCCTGCTGCTCTGCCTGGTGGCCCGCTGCCTGCTGCTCCGCCCGGTGGCCCGGTGCCTGCTGCTGCTCCGCCCGGTGGCCCGGTGCCTGCTGCTGCTCGCCTGGTGGCCCGCTGCCTGCTGCTTCGCCTGGTAATCCGATGTGCCTCTGCCCGGAGTCCAGCCCGATGTGCCTCTGCCCGGAGTCCAGCCCGATGTGCCTCTGCCCGGAGTCCAGCCCGATGTGCCTCTGCCCGGAGTCCAGCCCGATGTGCCTCTGCCCGGAGTCCAGCCCGATGTGCCTCTACCCGGACCCGGAGTCCAGCCCGACGTGCCTCTGCCCGGAGTGCCTCTGCCCGGTGTGCCTCTGCCCGGAGTCCAGCCCGATGTGCCTCTGCCCGGAGTCCAGCCCGACGTGCCTCTGCCCGGAGTGCCTCTGCCCGGTGTGCCTCTGCCCGGAGTCCAGCCCGATGTGCCTCTGCCCGGAGTCCAGCCCGATGTGCCTCTGCCCGGTGTGCCGCTGCCCGGAGTCCAGCCCGATGTGCCTCTGCCCGGAGTCCAGCCCGATGTGCCTCTACCCGGAGTCCAGCCCGACGTGCCTCTGCCCGGAGTGCCTCTGCCCGGAGTGCCTCTGCCCGGTGTGCCTCTGCCCGGAGTCCAGCCCGATGTGCCTCTGCCCGGAGTCCAGCCCGATGTGCCTCTGCCCGGAGTCCTGCCCGGTGTGCCAGTCTTTGATATCCCGCCAGTTACCAGACCCGGGCGGTGGAGCATTTTGCCCAGCTAGGACTGTTTGGAGCGTCCTGAGGCCGCTCCTTGGGGGGGGGTACTGTCAGGAATGGACTGGCCAGCAATAGTGGGACTCACCTGCCTTATGAGCTGCAGTACCAGGGCTGGCCAGCGGGTGCTCCCAGCAATCAGAGACTCAACCTTGCAGCCAGTCAAACACCTGGAACTAATTATACTGGTGTATTTAAGGGACATTCAGACCTGCAGACTCTGCCTTGGTGTGTGTTTCTCCTGGGCCCTGTATCCTGTTCCTGTCTGATTCCCTGCTGACCCTGCTCTGATCCCTGGCTTGTCTGACCATTCTCCTGCTCCTGATCCCTGGCTTGTCTGACCATTCTCCTCTGCCTGACCCTCTGTACCACGCTGCCCGCTACCTGCTGAACCTGGCCTGTGACCCCGACCATTCTCCGCTTGCTCCCCCTGTACCTACCTGCCCGATTGATATTGACCCGGCCTGCCTGACGACGCTTGCATTGTATGTACTGTTATCTGTAGGTGGTTGGTTTGGTTTGTTTGCACTGTGTTATATGTTTTAGTATTGCACTGCGTTTATGTTTGTATTGTTAGTGTTAATAAATTATATTGTTTATAACATATCTGAAGTCTGCGTTTCCCTGCGTCAGTCACACACCTCTGGTCATACCCGGGAGCCCTGACAAGACTCTTCTCAGATGCAGGAAGCCCTGAAACGCCTCATGGAGACAAATCTGGAGGCATACCTGCGGTTCCTTGAATGCCAGGCTGACAGAGAAACTATGGAACGCCAAGCAGCGGCTGACAGAGAAACTGCGGAACGCCAAGCAGTGGCTGACAGAGAAAAACTGCGGAACGCCAAGCAGCGGCTGACAGAGAAACTGCAGAACGTCAGGCTGAGAGAGCTGCTGAGAGAGAGGCGGTGCAGAGGGAAGCTGATCATTGGCATGAGGTGGAGATGGCAAGGCTCCAGCAACGACCGAGTCAGAACCCCGGGGCCCTAGATCACAGGGACGCCACCCTGGCCATAGGCGCAACCAAGTTTCCAGTGATGGAAAAAGACAGTGACATTGACACCTACTTACTGTCCTTTGAAAAAACGTGCCATCAGTACCATGTGCCCCCAGCTCAATGGGCTCAGTACCTGACACCAGGGCTACGAGGCAAGGCCCTGGACGCATTTGTTGAATTGCCAGAGGGGCAAGATGATGATTATGAACTTTTAAAAGATGCAATCATCCGGAAGTACCAGATGACCCCGGAAGTGTACCGTAAGCGGTTCAGGTCCATGCAGAAGGGACCTGGGGACTCTTACACGGATGTGGCAAGTCGCTTAAGCACCACATTCCGACAGTGGACTAAGGGACTGAAAGCTGACTCTTATGAATCTTTGGAGGATCTCATGATCCGAGATCAACTCTTGAACATTTGCCCAGCAGACGTCAGACAATTTGTCTTGGAGAGGGAGCCAGCATCTACTAAAGCTGCAACAGATCTGGCAGATACCTTTGTCCACACGCGGGTGCCTGACCCTCTCAAAGCGCCTCCAAACAGCTGGAAAGGGGGGAAATCATCCCTAGCAACCTCTCCTATGTCGGCGAGTCAAGCTTCTCCTCTGCCCACACCTGCAGCGCTTGGATCCAAGCCATTCCTGCCTGACACCTGCAGATGTTTCACCTGTGGGAAAGCCAGACATCTCAGGACGCAGTGTCCTGAGCACAAGCAGACGACATCATCTGGCCAGCCGGCCAGCAACTCTTCTTCTGTGCTGTTTATCCGCAGGAAGATGCGGGTAACCCCCGCCAACTTGCAGCCCCGTTAGTGTGGGCAACCGGTCTGCAACTGGTTTCCAGGACACCGGGGCAGAAGTCACCTTGATCTGGCCAGAGCTGATTGAGCCAAGGAACCTTATCCCAGGAAAGTTCCTTACCCTCACAGGAGTTGGGGGGACCCGTTCACGCATACCCTGTGCAAAGGTATTCCTAGATTGGGGTGTGTGGGGAGGGGAATGAGAGAGGTGGGGGTCTCAGATGAACTGCCCACACCTGTTTTGTTGGGTGCTGACCTAGGCACTCTTGTTTCGTATTATGCCCCCTGCCGAGAATACCCGGAAGGGCCTCCTGGAACTCTCTGGACAAGCCAAGGTACTGTGGACAGATATTGGGGTAATGTCTGGGCCACCGGTGGATGGACAGAGGGAGGGGGCTGGGAATGGTGTGGGGCTACAGGATTCTCCCTTAGCTGGAGAACAAGAAGAAATCCCCTTGCCTGGGGAGGTATTGAACTCATGTGTCATTGATATTATGAACGTGACTGTTGATAATGGGTGTGATGACAATAGAAATGATATTAACAATGTCAGCAACATTGATGGTAATGTCATTGATAATGTCAGTAATGTTGATGGTATGGTTGGTAACGCTAACAATAAGTATGATATTCATGATGAAACAAAGGATGCATTTTCAGTGTTGGGGGTCACCCACGGTGCTGTACAGGGGGCTGAGGTACAATCTCTGGGGGCTAAGCAAAGGGATGGTCTGGATAGGCCTGTTCCTTGCCCAGGCTCAAAAGATTATGCCTTGATAAGTGCCCAGCCGTTGGCTTTGCATAGTACTAGGCAGCCGGCTGGGACTTTTAGTTCCACGCCTCAGGCAGCACTGAAAAGCGATTCCCAAAGGAACTTCAGTAGTCCGCTAGCTGTGAGTTGCCCTGCTAAGGAGGTCACACAACAGCCGACTGGGACGTGTAGTTCCATGCTTCAGGCAGCACTGAAAAGCAATTCCCAAAGGAGCATCAGAGGTAAGCTAACTGTGCCTTGTAGTCCCATGAGCAAGGCAGCTCTGGAAAGCTATTCATATGGAGATTTCAGGCCAGGGCTAGGTGTGAACCCATATACTAAGATAGTTATTAAAGAGGTTATTAAATACATTAACGTGTCACCCAATGTATGGTCTCCATTCAGTAGCCAAAAGAGGCATACAAAAAAGGAGGGTTGTGAAAAGAGATTCACAGAAAAGCGGCTACATAATGAACAGAACGTGACACTAAGGGAATAATTTCCAAAAATTATGCTTTATTACACACAAATGAATATGACATATGGGCATTCGCCCTGGTTTACCATCACCTCAGTATGAGACAATACACACAGACCTAAAACCATTTAAAATGACACAAAAACCGGTCTAAATGTATGTGTAGCAGGGAAAATGGCTACATGAGTCTAGTGTCCCTGCAACAAAAACACACAGGTGAACACTTCCCTAGGGAGGTGTATCCAAAAATTATGCCATGGGCATACCATAATGGAGGATATGAGGGATTAAACAGTAACCATAATGGCAAATCCCTATCAAGAAATCCAAAAAATTATGCTATAGATATATATATCACATGTATGCAATGGAGCAAGCACAATATGCGTCAAAAAGGAGAGTAGCAGGCCTCAGGCCTGTATGAAAGAAGACATAAATGTCAA